CCAGCCTCGTGCGGTCCCCCTGCCGGCCCCCGCGCGCTCCAGCCGGAGCCGAGGACCTTGTCCAGAGCCGGGCATGGGGGCTGCACGTCCGCTAGGATCGGAGCAGCCTCGGGACCCCCGTTCGGATTTCAGTGGCCCGGAAAGCCTGACCCTACCGGGGAACCGCGTGTTCGTCAGCGCCGCCCCCTCCCCTTGCGGAGGTTCCCTGCACAGCCGGGGCTCCCTTGAAGGCTGCAGGTTCAGGCCCTCCCACCACGTAGGGCTCCTGGGCTGTTCGCCTTACCCCTGTAAGGCCGGGGGTGCGGTGCGCCAGCCCGGATGTTGGGAAGGAGGGCCCCGGCCGGTGCGCTCTTGGGCAGCGGGGTAAATGAGCGATTGACAGCGGCAGCCTTGCGGGGTGGGGTCCCAGCAGGGAAGGCGAGCCAGAAACCACCTCCTTCAACCCCCTGTTCTGAGTTGGAGCAGAACTCTGGTGCAGCGAAGGGCCTGGTCCTGGGAGATTTGAGATTTTAGAGAGGAAGCTGTGCTTAAATACTCAAGTACTCCCCCAACCCCCAACACAGATGTCTCGAGGTGGTGGGTAGTGGCCACCCCTGGCCTTTGACATTTCCCTCCCCATTCTTTCTCCATCCGAGTCTGGGTGAGCACCTCACCTTTCCCAGGCGTATTCCCCATGCCCTTGATAAAGTAGCCATCTCCTTGGCCAGGGAGAGTCATTGGCAAGGAATGCAGCCTCAGAATGGAGCCCTATGTTTGCAGTGACTGGACTTCAGGGACACAGGGCGATGAGTCCTGCAGTCCTTACGGGCACTAGGGAGCAGAGGTTTTAAACTCTGGGTTGTCCTGGAAAACCCAGGACCTGTGACTGTGTGTAGGGGAGGGTCCCAGCTCCTGTCCAGCTCCCTGACCTTCTCCCTGATCTCCCAGGAAAACTAAGCCCTCGCCAGCAGCATTCTCTGGGCAATTTTCAAGTCTGTCCCTCAGTCATTGCAAAATCCCTGGTCTAGGGGTGCAGGGCTGCAGCTCTACCACCATGGCCTGAATCCCAAGAGGCAATGTCCCTTTCCCACAGCTAGCCCCTCTGCATTCACTCACCCCTACAGGGAGATCACTGAAAAATAAAAATTTTGAGTTCTTAGTATACGGCGGTATTGTTCTGAACACTTTATATACGCATTATCTAATCCGTATACCAACCCCATAAAGTACAGTTCTCATTTTCAGATGCAGATAGTGAAGGGCAAAGTAATTCTCCCAGGTCACACATGTAGTAAGTGGCAGAGCTGGGTTCGGAACCAGCTTTTGGTCACAGCCACTCCAATACAGTGTCCCCATTGCCCCACCCCATGAGTCCTAGGTCGGTAGCAGCCCCAGCCTGGACCTATTTGCGTCCTTGATACTTTTGACCTTCATGCTCCCCTCTGCTAAATTCAGCTGCTTTTCTTCTTCAGGATCTTGCACACACCCTTCCTCTTTCCTCCTGTTATCTTCCCGGCTGCTTCCCTGACTTCCTTTCCAGAAAGCCACAGAAATATTTTCTCTTCCTGTCCCTGCCCCTCAGACTTAGCTGATCTCCTTAAAAGATTTTCCCCTCAACCCTGGAATTGACCTTCAATGCCCCGTTCGACATGCAGGTGGAGCCCATCTCTCCCTCCTTGCCCATCGGGCAGCTGGTCGTTGGGGTAGCTTGTGTGCCCAGCTGTGTGCCCAGCAGCCTGGAGAAGGGGGCATCTGGCTGCTCCTCCTGGTTCCTTCCACTCCGCAGTGGCCCATCCTTAGTAGCTCAGGGGAGCCAGCCCACATACTTGGATTAGCCTCTGCCCCATCCTTTGGCCCACAGCCCTGCCCCTGTCCCAGCGAGGCTGCACCCAGGAGCCTCCTCCTCCAAGTTGTCTTCTTCACTCAAGGAAGGCAGAGACCACGAGGCTCTAGACAGGAGCCTGGCGTCCTTCCAGGGCTTTGTGTACATTGGTCACCAGATCTTCTGGCCACCTGTCCCTGCATTCTTACTTCTTTTGACTCTCGATGCTTCAGTCATTCCTGTCCCTCTGTTGACCCAGCATGCTCCAGTCTCTCCTGAATACCACATCCTCTCGATTCAGCCTCTCCTTCCCACCCTAGCCAAACTTCCCCAAAGAGAAGGAAGTGGCAGCTTCCCGCAGCCCCCGCCAATCCCTTGGTTTGTCCGCTGCCTCGCTCCACAGAAATTCTTCCAGTTTGACCTCTCTGTGGCATAGGTCACTCACTGGTCACCTCTGAGGATTCTGCACCTACCTGGTGCTTCTGCCACCTTCCTTCTTCAACTCTCCTTCCCTCCAGGAGTGACTTGTCCTCCCTGGTTGCCTTTCATCTTGCACGACCTTTGGTGATTGTATCCTCCCTGTGAAATTGTGGCCTCCCAGCTCCGAGTCTCCGTCTCCAGCCCTGCTCTCTTCCAAGTTTCAGTTTGAGCCCTGGCGTGTGTTCATTTCCGGGCATTTAACCAACAAGCCGTCGCTGGGCATTTGGTGTGGCTGTAGCTGGGTGCTGTGGGGCTGCAAAGATGGACGTTCTATGAGCTCCACCCTGGGGACCGTAGAGAGTCAGGGGAGATGGACGCTGTTCAAATAGGTGTCTGGTAGGAAGGAGTCAGTGCACTGAGGAATGGAGGAAGTGGTCTTCAGCTCAGGTAGCACCATTAGCAAGTCCTTGGGTGCCTCCAACTCCATTTTAAAACCAAAAGCAAACTCCACACTGCCTCTCTGAGCTGACTTGGCTTCTGTAAATGGCATCACTGTCCGAGTCTGAGAGTATAGCTCGGTCACCTTAAATGCCCTCAAGGCTGCTTTGTACACAATAGGTGCTCAGTAAAGACTAGTGCACTGAATGCTGGAAGTCTGTGCTGTTCATTTGTTCGGTTTATAAGGGATCTGTGGGCTTTCCATCTAGACCAGTGCTAGCGCTCCCCACCCACCCCACCCCCATTCTCCCACAGCTCCCGGTGCCTCCCTGCAGGCTGTTTTGACTAGGAAGGTTTGTTGAAGTATTTACCTCCCTCTTCACAGAGAGCTTTGAGGCCACGTTTCTCCTGATCAAAGAGTACCCCTGGCAAGCGCTTGGCACATAGCAGGCCCTGGCTAAATAATTATCAAATGAAGAATGAATGAATCTTTGTATCTCAGTTCCTAGCCTGTTGCCTGCTGGTTGTAAGGCTGGAGTGAAGTCTAGTTTGAATATGCGAATGAGCTGACTTTAAGAGAATTCGATATGTATATCTAACTTGTAAGAGAATTTGATATGTATATCTAACTTGTCGCTGGCCACAGTCAGGGCCTCTTCTGATTAGATTTATGGAGGGGGGCGGGTATTGACCGGCACTTCCTTCATGTGGGGTCGTGACCTGGTGTGTCTTTAAGCTACCAGGCTCCTAAGTGGAGGGGCTGAGATGTGGGGCTTCCACATCGTGCTGCAGACACACAGCCCTACTCAGAAGTAGGGCTCCTTGCCTACTTCTGAGCCTCTCTACTTGGTAACAAACACCCCAAAATTGTGGCAGGCCCTGTTTCTTCCCTTGAGCCCCCCAGGGGTCCTTGGGGGGACATTCAGTTGGCCCAGACCCTCTAAAAGGCTCAGACCTGCCCCGCTGCTGGCCGGGGGTCTTCAATCTGTTCCCTTGCTCTCTCCTCAGGCTGCCGGGCGCCCAGAGGAGGCTGCTGAGCCCCGGGCCATGGTCCAGTCTCGCCGGACCTGGAACCTGGGAGCCACGCCCTCGCTGCGCGGCCTTTGGAGAGTGGGCCGGGCCCCGGAGCCAGAGCTGGAGCCCGGGATGGCTCGCCCCGCCCCAGCCAGCCCGGCCTCCCGCCCTTTCCCACACACCGGCCCGGGGAGGTTGAGAACTGGTGAGTCCGCATTTTTAAAATGCCTCTTTATTTCCCTTCCTTCCTCCTGATACCAGAGATGAGAGCAGGGGTTCTCGCAAGTTCCTAGGCTCAGTCAGAGCTGTCAGGTAAATTACAGGGTCCGGCAGCAGCCGGCAAGCCGGGCGTGGAGTCAGGGCGTCAATCTCGCTGGGGCTGCTGCCCTGCGCTGTCTGTACAGAGAGAAGTCGCAGACGCTGAGTTGTACTTGAACGCAGTCCCTAGAGCACAGAGAACGCCGCCAACAGGCACGCGGTCCCGGCCCAGCCGGGTCGGGGTAGCTCCGGTCCACCCGTCCTTGGCGGAGCGCTCGGGCTCTCCCTTTGCTTCTCTCTCCGATTCCTGCCCGAGGCTGGTAAACAAGGTAGGTGAAGTGGCTGCCTGGCGCCCGGCGCTCCGCTGACACTTGATCCCGCCTGCGGTGGCCCACGGGTGGCGGGAGGAGTAGATGAAGCTGCTCTGGAGCCCGGCCGGGCAGCGTTTGGGTGCTGTGCTCTCAGTTTTAGATGCCATCCAGGGTGGCTTCTGCAGGGGCCAGGGACAGCAGGTGGGCAGTGAAGGAGTCCCCGCGTCTGGGCCCCCGCTGCCCCCCGGGGAAGCTGTCAACACCAGCTCTCCTTTCTGGGTTCTATCCCCTGGTGCCTCCAACTTCAAGAAGTAAGTGGCAACTCTGATTCTGGGTGGAGGCTGGATTGTCTGGGGAGCTGCCCTTGACCCTCTTCCAAGTTCGATTTGGGCAGGTCATCCCAAAAGTGTTAGGGGAGAGAGGTGTCTTCGGACGAGATGCTTTCAGGTGTTTGCCGTCTGTTGCTCTTGACCTACGGGGTAAAGGGTTTAGATTACTAGCCTGTTTGAGCTGGCAGAATCCCTCTAGGCCATCAGGTCTAAGCCCCTCAAAGTACAGAAGGGGAAACTGAGGCGCAGAGAGGGCACACGGCCAAATCCTGTTAGGTTTCCTCTCTCCTACCACATTTGTACTGTCGGGGGCAGCCAGAGCGATGCCCTCCCAGGTCTCTCTGCAGGGGACATTGAGGCTGGGATGACCCTGGGGGCCTCCAGGAAAAGCTTGGGCTTCGGGGTCAGGTGGCCCCGGTTGTCTGGAAGGGGCTGAAGATGGTCTGTACCCCACAAGGTTGTAAGGATTACAAATGGAATATGAACAAGTATTGCTTTTCTGGTAAAAAAAAAAAAAAAAGAAAAAAAAAGAAAAAGAACCAAGAAAGCAAGAAACCAAAAATGTTCTCTTGAAAAACGAAAAAGCAAAAACCAAGATCAAAAACACAGAAAACTATAAACAAGAAAATAAAAATCTACAGCATACCTTGGAGATATTGCCGGTTCCCGACCACCACAGTCACGCGAGCACCGCAGGACAGCGAGTCGTCATCCTTTTGCTGGTGGAGGGTCTTGTCTTCGATTTGTAAAAAACGCAACATTTGTGGAGAGCAATAAAGCGAAGCACAATGAAATGACGCCGGTCTGAGCTTGTCACTAAACCTTCTGCATAGTGCCTCCCAGTCTCGCGTGTGCACGTGCGCGTGCATGTAGGTCTATCAAATGAGGACAATATGACTACAGACTTCCATCCACTTTTAACATGTAAGACAAAGGCCAAATGAAATCCCAGGTGTGAAATGCTAAGATAGTGCCTGCCCCTGCATAGGGACTCGGCCAGCCTGGTTGCCCCTGGGGCCCTCAGCCCTCACCTGGCACCGTGTGAACTCTTTATGTGTGTCACCCATTTTGTCCTTACTACAGGACTGTGGTTTAGTTCTTTATCCCCATTTTATTGACAAGGAAACTGAGGATCAAGAAGGGCATTTAAGGCCTGGGAAGCACTTGGCCCATGGCTGGCACTCATCATGTCATCACACCCCAAGGTGGTGGCTCTGCCACTTGCCGCTGTGAGGCGAGCCCTCCTCCCACCCTGCCCCATCTGGCTCCACAGGCTGTGGTGGAAGGTTGAAGTGGGGTGGATGGGGTGTCGGTGCCACAGTCAGCCCTCGCCCCCGTCTGCTGAGGGAGGCAATGTGTCAGAGGCAGGAGGGGATGCACCTTAGCTGGTCCTGAATATGCTTTTGAAGGCAGTTCAGACCAGGCCACCCAGCTTTGGGTTGGTCTTAGTGAAGGCAATAGAGAAATTGCCACCTAGAGGCAGCCCAGGGAATAAAGCCTCGGCCCTGGGGTGCACCTCCGCTGAGGATTAGTGTGGCCAGGTTGGTACTGCTCCCTTCTGCTGCTTTCTGCAGAGGGCCCTCATGAGCAAGTGCCAGCCCCCAAAGCCACTGTGGGGGAGGAGAGCCCCCAAAGGGACTTGGGTGCCCTCCTGTAGAGCATCTAGGGGCGGCTTTTGGTAAGAAAGGCGTACGGCCCTTGCCCAGTGCCAGGCCTTCCCTCTGTGCTGGCAGGCGTGTGAGAGCATGTGCGTCCCTCCTGGCTGGGCCTGGGTTGGCTGGAGTGTGTGCAAGCCACGCTCAGCTGCGGCCCTGCCCAGGGGTCCAAGCATCTCACGTATCTTTTCTGTCTTGGGACAGGGCGTGGAAGAGATACCCCAGCCAGTGGTGACGAAGACTCTGGTGCCCGAATTGCAGCCCACCCAGCCCTAGCTCAGTGCCGAGCCCTCAGCGTGGACTGCACTGGCCCCGGGAGCCCCCGCAGGCTCTACCTGAGTGTGCAAGTAAGCAGCATGGGACCTTAAGAAACATGAAGGGTCCAGCCAGGCGGGTGTGCCTTGGCCCTCTGAGCTCCAGCACCTGGGTCCCCGACAGGCTCCTCTGGGGAAGGAAGCACCGATGGAGAGCTCGGGACCTGCCTCGTGCCTCTTAGCTAAGCTCCTTGTAGCACATCTGCCTGTGGGCCTGCATGGATGGAACAATTTGCTTTATTAGTTATCTGGGGGGAAATCTCACAGATGACAGAAGCTTTTCAGCCACACCCTGGCTGGCTGAGGTGTTAAAGTGGGAAATGTGGGGCCTTCTCTGAGAAGGTGTT